CAGGACGACCACTACTCGCCCAAATGTCCGGCCGGCAAGCCCGAGCAGACCAAAGATGCCCCACCAACGACAACAACAACATACGCAGACCGACTGAAGCAAAATCAACGACAGCCCCAACAACCAACAACGAGACGACCGCCGACTGACACCGCCACCGCCGCCACCACCCCGGCCGTCGACGCCCCAGCGCCCGCCCTCAACCCGACTGCCCCCACCACCCAGACTGTCACCTCCACCGGCCTACTTAGAACACCCACAAAGACCCCTACAAAAAACAAGACCCCAACGCCGACTAAGACTCCGACCAAGACCCCGACAAAAACCCTAAGACCACCACCACCACAAATACCCCTTGCCTCCCTCGAGGGCACGTTGACACCCCTCCCCATAAAAAACTGGGCCGACGAGACGGACAAAACACAAACGGTAGAAAGTGACAGCCCCCCTGAAACCCCCCTCTCTTGAGGCCAAAACCGGCGAATAACAATTGCGGGGTGGGAACTACCGAAAAAGCGCCCACAAAATAGCACACTACTACCTCGGCACACGCCTCAGTAAACACACACCGATAGACAACACAATGCCACACCACTTCGGCTCGCTACCAACATTCCACAAAAACGCACTAGACACGCTGAAACGACACGGCGAGCTAAACAAAATCACTCACAACACAAAAACTACATACAAGGCTCTCGTCCTCCGACAAGCAACAGCGCTACACGAACAAATACCTCGGGGAAGGAGATATGCTCTTATCGATTTTTCCGAAGCCTTTAAAAACTTCTTTATTAAATGTACCACTCCACTTCAGAAACAAACCACCTACCGAATACTATTTTCTATTACCCCGACATCAGAAGGACAAAGTAAAAAGATCAACAAAATTATTCCCTGCAAAATTTGTAAACAAAACGTTCAGGAAACAGAGGAGCATATCTTCTTCTCTTGCGCATACATACAACCTATCAGACAAGCACTCACAAAAATGTTAGGCGCACCGCACAACACACCAGTAGACATTTACAAAGCAATTTTTCTCAACATAATACCGACAGAAGACAACGACACACACACAGTCAAACTACACATTCTATCACTATACAGAGACACCGCATGGCAAGCTCGCCTTCAGACAACTTTTTGTAACACCCACCACACACCCACCACCATCATGCACATGTACACACACAAACTTATACACACACTAACGAAACACGATCAGTGGGCAACGTTTGAACGCATGACGAGCTGAGCTGTGGATGGAGAGACAGTGCGAGTGACAGAGCGGGTGAAAGAAGGAATGCATGAGTATATCCACAGGCCACAGAAACGAGCCTAGCAGACGACGAAGCGGCGCAACGACGACACCGACCCTCCCCCCCCCCCCCCTGGCCTGGTCCACAACGCAGCTCACGAATGAAAGGAAAGCGGCTAAGGCAGTCTTGCCAATATTATTGTCCATAGTTCGCGGAGTGCAAGTGAATGAGTGAGATTTTCTTTGTGCGTGCTTGGAGGGAGGGGGCGGGGTATGAGAGTTATGCGGACGGGGATGAGCCGCGGGAGAGAACTTGTGAATTACCTGAGTGAGTGAAAGAGAGGGACGATTTATGAGCCCTGGAGTGAATGGATCCTGCGTTCTATTTTGTATAGGCCTACTTTGATTTTTCTGGAAATAAAGGCTGAAATAAAGCCTGAAAAAACAGACACACACACACTCCTTACTCTTCACTTACACACCTACCACCACACACAGACACACTCATAGTAGGCCTACTCATACACACACATGCACACACACAAACACACACACACACACACACACAAAAGTATCTGTTCTTATCCACACCAACTCCCAGACGACGTTGAGCTCAACCAGACACCCCTGCACCGAGGAGGACTCGAAATAAGGTATAACCCGTTTTTGTATCGTCCCGGTGCAGGGCTCTGTCCCTCCACCTCCACTCCGCCGTTTGGGAGAGAAGCCGAGAAGCGGTCCGACCGGACCGTGACAGCCCCCGACGAGACCGCCACCACCACCAACATGCCGCACTTCACCGCCCTAAACTTAAAAGATGGACCAACCCGACATCCATCCGGCACCCTCACCGTCACGCTCACGGGCCGCTACTCTGGCAGCGTCCCCCTCGCCATCATCCAGAACATCACCAGCCTCCACCCCACAGCCAAGATCCAAAAAATTTACAGATTACAAACATATTACACATACTACATCGAGCCACTCCCAGGAACAGACCTCAGCCCCCTGCATCTGCAGACATTCTGAGAAGTGGCGGAGGGGACTGACGCCCTCTGCCAGCTGACGGCCCGTGAGCTTACACTTACAGTGGGTGCCGGTAACTTTCACTACAGAACACATCAAACAAGTCGCCCAAACTTTCACCAGACGGGACACGGACATTGACTTCCTCCCCAGGAGGTATGGAACTGACGATCGCCATATCCTCCTGGCGGAGGCCGACGAACAGGACATACCCCATTACGTACGAATCTCGGGCTGCGGGCCGCACCCCAATTCTATCTTGGTAACTATCCCCGGGCGCCGCATAGCTTGTATTCACTGCCCCCGGGACGACCACTACTCGTCCAAATGTCCGGCCGGCAAGCCGGACCAAACCAACGACGCCCCCCCAGACAACGGAAATGACCTACGCCGACAGATTGAGGCAAGGCCCACGACAGCCCCACCAACCACCGACAAGACGACCGCCGCCCGCCACCGCCACCACCCCGGCCGTCGACACTCCAGCGCCCGCCCTCAACCCGACTGCCCCCACCACCCAGACTGTCACCTCCACAGCCCTACTCAGATCACCCACCAAGACCCCTACAAAAACCCAGACCCCAACGCCGACTAAGACTCTGACCAAGACCCCGACAAAGACCCTAAGACCACCTCCACCACAAATAGCCCTTGCCCCCCTCGAGGGCACGTTGACACCCCTCCCCATACGAAACTGGGCCGACGAAACGGAGAAAACAAAAACGATAGAAAGTGACAGTGACAGCGAGGAAAGACCTCTGACGATAGAATTAGAAACAGACACAGAGCAAGAAAAACAAGACAGACAGACAAAAAAGAATTCGAACCTACCTTTAAAAAGACAAAATTCCATAGACACAGTAACACAGAACACAAATGACGCTAGAACAGAGAAAAAGAAGAGGACAGAAAAATGTGCAACCAGACGGACAAACCCCTCCCCCAGACCAACGACGCCCCACAGACGACAGAAACGACGTACGCAGACCGCTTGAGGCAAGGCCCACGACAGCCCCACCAACCACCGACAAGACGACCGCCGCCCGACACCGCCACCACCAACACCGCCGCCACCACCCCGGCCGTCGACACTCCAGCACCCGCCCTCAACCCGACTGCCCCCACCAACCAGACTGTCACCTCCACCGCCGTACCCAGATCACCCGCCAAGACCCCAACGAAGAAACAGACCCCTACAAAAACCCAGACCCCAACCAAGACTCCGACCAAGACCCCGACAAAGACCCTGAGACCACCACCACAAATAGCCCTTGCCTCCCTCGAGGGCACGTTGACACCACTGACCTAAAACTATATGGACTGTGCGCGCCTCGTTTTCAATACAGGCTTTAAGAGCGCTGCCCTGTTGACTAGCGGAAGTGCCCCAGCCGCCACATTGGCGAAGTTACCAGTTCACTTTCCACTGGCCTCTTTAGCCTCAGGCACTCAAGTTACTGTTGCTGTGCTGTTTTCATCTTCTAAATTATTATTTTTGCACGTGTAAGATGCCCGGGTGCACTGCTTGGAAGTGTTCGAGGCGAGGAACACCCAGGAAAGGAAGAAAGGCTTTACTTTTCACAAGTAAGTAAAACTTTTGAGGCCTATTGACCTATTGCCCTCCTACTACTGTTGTGTATGTGTGTGTAGTCTACTGTTGTGTGTGTGTTATTATAAATGTGTACAGGCTGTCTTAGATTCTAGATCTAGATCTCTACTCTAGAAATCTTTTGCACTGACCTTCTTCTGTTTCGTGGCAATCTCTGGCCTATGAAATAGAGCTCTGCACCTACATGAGCAACAGTAGTAGACCTTCCCTAGTGAAGTGATGAGCTTTTGATTACTTATGACATGGAGCCTTTATCCACCCTTTCAGATTGCGCCACAAGTGTTCAATATTCTGCGTTTCAGATTTTTCTGGGTCCACTGTGATTTACAGATAATGTATACGAGTGGTCCGGTATTCTTCAATCTTCCCCTAGAATCTAGATTCTAGTGCTTAAGGAAAATTAGGCTGTCATGCGCAATGAGTGGCCAATCGGATCGGCAAAAGTAGGACAAAGATTCCTCAATTGGCCGATCAATACGCAAAAGTTAGGTAATATTTAATTCTACACCGCTTTTTTAATTATAACTCTCTTATTTGTTTGCGAAAGAAAGAAATATCATATTCAATTAATCTCCTTTTTTCTTTTTAAATGGAAGAGGCTAGCGTACTTTATGACGGCTAGACTGCTAGGCTAGCCGTATTTAATAAGGATGGCTGAATTGTAAATGAAATTTTAGCTTGCAATGCCTGTATAAATTTGTATTTCAGACGAAACCAAAAGGTGCCTTACTGACCCTCTGTCAAGACGCAAAATGTCACACACTATTGAAACAATACTTTGTGAGGCATCGTGGCGAAATCAGGCACTCGTCATAATTATGATATTGAAGAACCTGGCATTTTTCTGCCTGTTTGGTAATTTTAATTTTAATCGAAATTTTGTTTTCCAGGTGCTATTTGTAACGCCGCGTTCTGAATAGCTCCCATGCTATTTGAAACGCCGCGTTCTGAATAGCTCTTGATAAACCTCCTAGGATTTGACTCCCGTGACGTTGTCTTATTCCGAAAATTGACGGGCGCCTGATTCCACCATGCTGTGACGCGTTTAACTTAGATGTTGGATATATGTACACATAAAAGTGAACACATACATACATTTGCTTCCAGATTCCCACTTGGAGATCTAGACAGATCAAAGAGGTGGTTGGCAAACATGAGGAGGGAAGGATTTTCAGCCCACCAGGAATACAGTGATTTGCTCTGCTCACTTCGATGACAAGTGTTTTGACAGAACAGACTGTTGGATTGAGACCTGATGCTGCGCCCACCCTGTTTGATTTTCCACCCGATCTCCAGAAGGTATGCTTTCTGCTTCAATGAGAAACACTATTTCTAAAGGCCACCTAGTTCTATTTAGGACTCGAATTCGATCAGACTTTTTAATTATTCGGACTGGAGTCTGAAAATACTGAAAATGGGTTTTATCTGTTCAGACTCGGGTCAGCAAAAATGTTTTATTTATTCAGACTCGTCATTTAAGTGAGTTATGAGAGTGTAAGCTGAGAGTGCATGATCATGATCGTGTGCCATCTCATTGGTCGACATATTTAACTGTGCGCCCCTCCCCCCCCCCCCGGAAAGGTCACGTCAACTTGGTTGTTCTGTTCATACTAATGATGCAGGGAGGGAGGGCCAGTTTACATAGATCTAGTAATTGGATAAATTATATTAAAGCTCATGTCTCGATCTTTTTAATCGGAAAAAAATTCATAAATGCTGGAAATTTAGGAGCATAGGTTTAGTTGTTTTATAATTGCCAAATATAAAGTGAAATCTTGGCGTAATATTCGTTTTGTATAAATTCATCAATCTATACTCTGCCTAATCGGCCCAATTTTCGTTGTGTTTTGGACTTAGATCTACCCGTACACCGATGTGAACGGTATACGCATTCAGGATTATTTTTTTTTCTCCTGTTCTTGGTTCCTTGGGTTTTTTACGTCTTAAAAAGTAACTAACCCTGATTTAGTTACATCGTATTGAATGGTTTTAAGCGAAATTGAAGTTTGGTTAAACGTTTTAACATTTAGTAAATCAGTTTTTTCCTTCTCCTGGAAAATTATCTCTCTGGCGCTTACGGGGTCTGACCAGGGGGACATTGATAATGATATATTATTATGTGTGCGTGTATGTATGTATGCATATATATATTTTTCATGAATATTATGTAAAGCGCAAAGAACAATGATTGTAACAGGGATTTGCGCGATATGAATATATAAATATATATATATATATATGTGAGTCAGGGTGGTGAAATCAGGCGCCCGTCAAAATAATGAAAGAGAAGAAACTGGCATTTTTCCTCCGATTTGAGAATTTTTATTGAGTTTTTGTTTTTTGGCTCAACACCTTTCATGCATGCCCATTAAAGAACATAAATATTTCTGTGTGGATTTTACTGAAAAATGTTGATTAAAGTCATGAACGATGTAAATTATAAGTTTACATGGACTCTCAAGCTAAGGAAATAACTAATTACTAAAGTTTAATCGCAAAAATCTCGACTTTGTATCCGTGATAATTGGCATATTTTTTTCATCGAAAGCAAGGCAAGTCGACAGGCTTTAAGATGATACCAATAACTCCATTATATGCCCAAAAATTGATGGGCGCCTAATTCCACCATGTCGTGACACTTATTATTATTGCTATAATGCGAACTAGTGAAATCCGAGAAATAAACATTTTATGACCTGTTTGGAAATGGTTCCCCCCCCCCCCCCCCCCCCCAAATTTTTTTTGGGGCTCAGCACCTTTTATGTCGATTTTAAAACACATTTGGGTGTGGATTTTGCAGAAAAGCATTGATTAAAGGCACCAAAAAAAATTAAAATTTTCATTTTGCAAGTACTCAAGCTTTGGAAGTTGCCAAACTTTGGTGGCCATTTTCTCGCTAATTTTATCTCTGAAACCAGGCAAACCTGACCTTCTTCAATCGCAAATATTTCGACTTCTAGTGTAGATGGGCTTTTTTTTTTTACCTCAAGGAAGGCAAATGAACAGGCTTTAAGATGATAGCAATAACCAAAAATTGATGAGTGCCTGATTCCACCACGTCGTGAAACAAATATGTAAGAAAAGTGAAAGGGGGGAGGGGGGATGCAAAAAGTCCCCAAAAAGATGTAAGATTATATTATTTGAACAGCCCCTAAACACATTTAAAATTGTTTGTTTGCAGACACCTGTACTGTAAAGCCAAGGCGTCATGCTGAACGCAGAACCGTGGCTCAGCCAGAAACTACTTCCAGTGCTGATCAAGAGGAGGCTGGAGAGAGTGTGGGTCCATCTTCAGTGACGACCACAGTTATGCGACTGTATGTTGTATGTGCTCATTTTGTAACGATGTGTAAGCGTGCGTGTGTGATATAAGCAAGTAGACGTTGGTGTGTGTGTGTCGCGTGCGTGAATATTGTTCATACATGCATTTATACGTGCTGAAAAACTTGGCGATACTCGCTGTGGTTCTCATTGTGTGTGTGTGGCGTGCGTGAATATTGTTCGTTCATGCATTTATGTAAGCGCCTAGAGCTGTGTTTACACGGGTGTGGGCGTTCTAGAAATGATCTTCATTATTATTATTATCTTAATATATATATTTATATGTATGGTGTGTTTCACTCTATTTCTGATTGTGTGTGTGTGTCACCCCAAGCAAAGCCGGGTGCTCAGCTAGTTTTATTTAAATGTATGTGTATGTGCTCATTTTGTAACGATGTGTTAGTGTGCACGTGTGATAAGCTAATAGATGTGTGTGTGTGTGTGTCGTGTTTGTGAATATTGTTCGTACATGCATTTATGCGTGCTGAAAAGCTTGGCGATACTCGCTGTGGTTCAATTGATTGTTATTTTGTGCATACCTTCTACATCATACTTGTTATGTTGCTCATGATCTCATTGTGTGGGTGGGTGTGGCTGTGTGTGTGTGAGTGTGTGTCGCGTGCTTGAATATTGTTCGTACATGCATTGTGACCATTGTCTTTCTGAATAAAAATCTGCTGAAGATGACAAAGAGTTAAAAATGTTCACTCGTCTGCTTTCATCACTCGTCTGCTTTCATCTCCACTTTCTGCCCTTACCTCCTTCTGGCTCCTGAAACTTTCTACTGCTTCTTCTTGGCTCCGTCTTACTGCTGTCTTTCAGCCAAACCCCAGATCTTGTGGTAGGTAAGATCCACACTACACCTAGCCTTCTCGGACAAGGGCTAAAAATATCGGAGGTCCTGTGTGCAAGCACACGTTAAAGATCCCTTGGTGGTCCAAAATCAAAAAGAAGAGTAGGCCTCAGCTGCAACCCGAGCAAAAATCAAAATTTCCTACCAACTGAAAACTATTGGTGGGTCCCGGGCGCTCATAGAAGTCATATGCGAGCGCCGTAAAACACTTACTAATTATAACAACAAACTCAAACACCAAAAAAACCCACCCCAATTGCACAGCTTAATGATCTTCGTTTTCTTGTGTTTCGTTAATGCTTTCCATCTTGACTGTAGCCATGTTACCCATCTTTCTCCTCTACTTTCTCTCTCTTTATCTCTCTGTTAGAGTTAGACATGATCCTATTCACTAGTCATATTGTGAATAAATCCTTTTATTTTCTTGCACATCGATACCAAATATCTAAAATCTAAACCACTTGTCAAAGTGGTCTCATCCCAATATATCTGTTTACAAAGACGTTTAGGCTCGTTTCTTGTTGTTTTTTGCCTCAACCCCCACGCAGTGCCTCTTATAAAGTCTATTAAATTTTCACTACTGAGCGTGCGGCGCTCGCAGAGTTGGCCTATGCAAGATGGCGGCCGGTTAGTTACGGGTTTTCCACGGCGCGCGCAGTCCATATATTTTTAAGTCAGTGGGTGCGCTCTGTACGCCTCCCCCCGTCTTGCTGTGAATCCTTTTTGCGGTGTCTTTTGATGAAATGACGATTAATTTTGTTTCTTTCGAATCTAATCAAGTACTCGTGAAGTATTTTTAGAGCAACATTGGTCTATTTACAGTGTCAACTATTCTATGTGCCTTTAGGATAAAGGTTTCTTTTTATTGGATAGCGGCTGTAAGATACATGTAAATGTACAATAATTCGGATACTCCTTATTGTTGGTTAATTTATAGCCTGTTCGTTACTTTCATTTACCAATTCAGCTGTAGATTGAGTTTTCCTCTCTATCGTTTATATTGCAAAGGCGTTTAGGGTTGACAACTGAAACGAAAAGGTTTTTTCTTTTGTATTTTATTTTTTTATAATGTGAAGATAGATCTAGATAAGATTTTTAAAAAATCAAGATTCTAGGGGTAAATCTATCTTTACTTAGATCTAATCTGTCTAAATCTTGATCAAGATCTAAATTCTAGATCTAGATCTAGCCTTAAATTTCTAGATCTATTGGTTATGGAACGTGGACAGACATGACAATTGAACAATGTCTTATGCGAGCTGGAAAAACACAAGGTGGCCTCATCAACCTAACACGCAAAGAATCGGCTAAAATGAAATGGCTTATAGGTCCCCCACATCGTCGCTCAGTATACGGACGCATTGAGAACTTTAACCGGAATTACTAGGTTACTGGCCTTCTCGCGGCGGAACAGTTACCACTGACAGGAGGGCAAAGGCGAGTCGCTGGCGCCTCAAAACCAGCTGCTTCGGGTAGACGGAGGTAGGCAGCCTGGGATGGCAGTTCATCTAGGGGAAGGGAAACCCTGATTTAAAACCTCCGCGGCCTTTCGGCCATATCCATTAAGGACAAGGCTATGGAAGTAAATCCAGAAAAAAAAAATCCGGAGTGGAGTCCCAAAGGCGGTTGGGAGCTAAGTCCTGACTTCCTTCTGGCAACTCCTGCAGCTTTATCGGCTCCAGATGTAATGCACAGCATTCCACTGGACCTCGCCGGTAACGCTGAGAGGGGGACCCTGTCGTCTGGGCAGCACTTGACCTCCACATATTTCCACTCAGGCCTGCGCCCTTGAGAGGTCACTCCAGTCTCATCTAAGATGAGAGCACAACACGTATGACAGCACTGTCCTGGAAATAGTGGAAAGGAGTGACGAACAGGCGCAGCCATTGTTTCCCGAGACAGAAGGAGCCGACGGACGGACAACGACGGTAGTTTCACAGAGCAACACAGATGAAGGCCCCTGGCTTCTCGGAGACGCGACACTGATGATCTGAAGAAGTTTGTGTCATTTCTGGAGGCGTACAGTATGTTCAAGTTCAAACATTCAAGGAAAGGTACTTTCATGGATATTTTTAAAGCTGGTGTGGTCGCCAATAGCAGGGTCATCGTTGATGATGCACTTACGATTGGCTGGAAAGTACATGCTGAAACGACTGGTATGTGCTATGGCAAGGTTTCCTTTTTTAAAAAGTGACCAAGCTGTCACATTCAAGGTGATGCGTAAACCAGTGCAAATCCTGAGCGACAACATCTTTAAGTCACAACCTGAGATGTACCAGCGACTGCTTTCAATGGCCTGCATCTGTGGTCTCCCTCGAATCTTGAATCTTCTTTATTCAAGTATGAGTTTTAACCTGTGGCTCCTGCCTTTCTTCACGACTACGGGAGTATGGGGAAAACGGATAAATCTCTCCTGGCCAATCACATCATCAACGTGTCCCCAAACATTGTTGTAAATGATGTCAACGACAAGTCTCATTATCTGGTGTATGATGGCATCCACATGCTTCATCGTCTAAACTGGACAAAGGTTGGAACAGTAGAAACATTGTGTCAGCTATTCGTCAATTGTTTGCTCCACAACAGGACACCAGATATTGAACGTTGTGTCGTCTTTGACAGTTGTGAAACTACCAAAGCACCTGAGCGAAAGAGAAGGAAGACTGCATACACACCACATTCAGTTGTTGATCGTCATTACAGCACAAATCTGTAGACTGACAAAGATTCGTTCCGTACCAATCTTCAGAATAAGCAAGCATTGGTGCGACTCTGAGGGTTGTCCTTAGAAGAAGAGGACATTTGTATTGCTCATGCCAAAGAAGGAGATGCGGACACACCCATTGAGAGAAAAGTGTTACAGTTTGCTGATGAAGGTTTACTCACGGTTGTCTTGTCCAATGGTACAGATATACTAGTAAAGCTTCTGTATCATATGAGCAAAGACATGAAAGTCTACATATCTGAAGCCAAGTAACGTCCAAATAATTTCTATTCAAGCAGCTATAATGACCATAGGTGAGAACGTGTGCTGCTGTATCCTGGTTGCGCATGACGTGTCAGGATGTGACACAAAGTCTGCTGTCTTCGACATGGGTAAGCTTAAGGCTTTCAAGCTGTTGCAAAAGTCAGAGCACTGTCAACAGAAGACCACTATTTTTGGACAAACAGATGCCAATGTAAAGGACATCACAGACATAGGAGTCAAGTTCTTGTCATTCCTTTACTGCAGTGGACCACAAAACCTGAGCCTTACTGATTTTCGATATCAACATATCATCTCCCCAAAGTACGTGCCACTTGAACGGATGACTCCAACAGAGAGAGCCACACAATTCCATGCCCGTAGAGTGCATCACCAGGTTAGTAAATGGCTTAATCTGCACACCGTCTTTGACTTTGTTGATTACGACTTCACTGTGAGTAACAACATTGTGAGTCCAGTGATAACTGACAATACTCCGGCCCCAGATGAACTGCTACGTGAAATCCGCTGTTCGTGTAAGAACAACACTCCACTATGCAAATCCTGTACTTGCTGCAAGTACAACATCCCTTGCAGTATACATTGTCATTGCAGAGGGCAGTATGAAAATGCTTCAGAAACGACACAATTTAAATTGGGCTCAGGGAAGGAACCGCCGAGCTCAGTATCTTCTAGTTTACACATTAAGTGCCTGGCCTACGACGCGGATGGGGTGGAAGGGGACCAGCTCTCTACAAATCAACGCAAACTGACTTCTTCGTAAGTTCCCAAACTGGCCGTAACAAGGGTAGGAAGGACTGTATAGCTCTTCAGAGCAACCAATCTAGAAGAAGGAAACTCATACACAGCGGAAGTCATACACTTATGACCATAACTCGAACAATCGGTTAGAAATGGAAGGGGGGAGTTCCAAACGTGAAATCACGAAAAGGTCTTATTTCGCCCTAACTTTACTATTTTTACTTATCTTCCCATGTTTACCAACGAATTTTCATGAAGCTTGGTATACAAAAGCCGAGCTGCATGCTATGCCGGAACATGGATTTATTTTTGAGGTTTATATGACCACACCGTATCTTTTTGTTTTTAAACGTTTAACATAATGTGTTTACCGCCAATAGGTAATTTAAATGTAAGTTAATTGCATAAACAACATAAATTCTGAGTTTTTCTTGTTGAGACGTTGACTTTGATACCGAACACGACCATATTTGAGCTAATTTTAAAGATGACCCTGACACTGACCTTGACCTATAATAATCTGTAAATTGCTGATTCAGTGATAACTATTGGGTCAATTTTAAAAATAAAAGTATTTTTGTGTTTCATTTGACTATCTCTTTTATTCTGCACAAATAATGACATCTTTTAATGAATTCGAAAATTGACCTCTTTGACCTTTATTAGGTTAAAATTAAGAATGTTCCCCAAGGGCGATTTTGGTTGAATTTTTTTGGTAGTACTTAACGGCTCAAAAGTTCAAGTTGGCGTAAAAATTTGGTTGTTATCTTTCATGTCCGGGTTCGATGTCAATTTTTACTGGTCTAAAAGCGAATCAATAGCGAAAAAACGAATCAGAAACTAGGTACCTAGTTTAGAAACATGTACCTAGTTTCAAACTAGGTACCTAGTTTTTGGAAAAATGAACCGGAGACCTAGTTTTGGGCTCGTATTCGGTTATTCGAATAATTTATTCGGTTTCTGCCCAGGCCTCGAGGACACTTTTTTGGCTGAGTGGCTCATCGTGTTATGTACTATCTTTGGTGCCAGCGTGCCAGTCAAGTCAGTTTCTATCCGTTTCAGTGACTTATTCCGTTTAGGCTAGCACAGACTGGCTCAGATGATTGCCATTGCTCTTACAACAGTTTGTGGAGAAAAATAAGGCTGCTTGTTCAAGGCTGGATTATAAAAACGCCAGCTGTTATTATTATAATGCTATATTGGGACAGCCTACCGACTTATATATCTCGAGTACCGGGTGTTAGTGATCACGAATCTCAATTACCGAGCAAGTACAGTTGAATTTGAATTAGACAGTATCGATGCCGGTCGGCAGGATCAAAGGTTGGGTCATTGGTCACTCACTGGTCATCTTTCATCTTATTGTCCGGAATTGTCTGACTTTTTCAGTACCTGTGCCCTGAGAGTCGAAAGTCAACTTATCCTCTGCTTCTTTTTCTCTAGATTCTATATCTAGATTCTAGAAATAGAAAGAGATCTAGATCTAGATCTAGATATATCTCTAGATCTAGAATCTAGTTCTAGATTCTAGACTAGAGAGTCGTTATATATTTCCACTCATGTCTAGATCTAGTTGTTCTGTCTGGCATGGTAGTCTCTTCTTGTGCCCGGTTTGGTTACAGGCTGACTTCTCAGTTGAAAATAAAAGGAGCAAAGTCTGGTGGCAGACAGCGATCTGGTGAAATCACTGTTTCTGCTAGATCTAGAAATCTAGATCTATCTAGATCTAGATCTAGATCTAGTAGCACTTTTTCAACAGTAACACCCGACTCACCTGTCTGTTGCTCACAAGCTTTGCTTTGGACTCCGTCGAGACTGAAGTGTTTGAAAGGTGGTCCGTGTGCTGGTTGTTCTCTCAGAAACATGGCTTCAGAGGCTTCGACACATAATGATGATGAGCTTGATAGTTTCCTGTCGCGATCTTTTCTTGACTTGGAAAAAATTGATCAAAATTTATTCAGGTGAGTTTTGTACAATCGCCTTGTACAATAGCGTCGGGCCACTTTTAACCGTAAACCTTACTTTGGCAGACAGTGGTCTTGATATTAGATCTAGATTACTAGATTCTAGATCTATATGAAGGATGAGTGTGTGCTTAAATTAAGTCAGAGGTTTGTTTTGGTGTCGCAGGTTTTTTTGTAAAGTTGTTTAAATGAAAAGTAGTACAGTAGTTCGGAAGGGGGGAGGGGTACGAGCTGAAGAAGGGATGACCCAAAAGTCAGATGCACCAACTTTTAAGGGTCTTTGGGGGGTCTTCAGGTACAGTGTTTGCCTCTCATTCAGAAAGTCTTGGGTTTGAACCCTGGCGATGACAAAAAAATTTCTTTTCTAATTTTTTTTCCTTTCATCTCGACTTTCCATTGTGGTAACGTCATGTTCAATCATTCTGCTTTCATAGTTTTCTCTCCCCCCCCCCCCCCTTCCGCTCCATATTCACCCTCCCCCACCCATCCCTGGGCTTCTCTCACGTCAACTCTAGACTGTTTCTACGACACTTCTCTTGGCGCCTTCTTTTTGCTGTCTTTCAGCCTCCTCCCGGATCTTCTAGTACACTAGGTAAGATATATATACAGTCAAACCTGCCTTGACGGCCACCTCTATAAAAGATGACCACCTGTACAATTCCCCCCCTTGCGTTTTTTCTATATAATTTAACTGTGTAAAACGGGCACCTGTCCAACGCGGCCACCATATTTTAACACACAACCCCTATCACACTAAGCAATAACACCTGTCTTAGACGGCCACCTTAGTGACTCCATTACGTTTTTTCATTATTTGTGCATTGGCCCCTGGCGTTGTGAGCGAGCCGTCATAATTCAATCACCTGTCGTTGTTGTTAGGTAGTCCCTCCAACAGATCATGTTGCGTAGGCCCCTCCCACTGTTGACCAATAGCTACCAATTTTCAGCTGCTGGTGAGGTGAGCGTGTGATCCCTCAAAACCCATAAAGCCCTGCCCAGAACTCATACACAAATCGTAAGTGAGATAAGTGGTCACTGTTTACCCAGTCTGTAACAAAGTAACAAAGGACGTCAACGTGAACTTGTGACAGAAGCGTCGCTCATTCTCCGAGTGGTGGCGACCCATGTGTTTGTTTTAACATGGCACTCGGTCTTCCTCGTCTGATACATTTCGTTTTATTGTCACCCTTGTGCAAAATCAGCAGCAAAATAAAAATTACAAACATTAATACAAACTACCACCACCAACAACAAAAACAGCAACAATGGGGATTGGAACCTCAGAAAGGAATCGTTCATTTTCTTCATCTTGATCAGTCCTGCCTAAGACGGCCACCTGTCTTATATGGCCACTTTTCTCCTTGACAATGGGTGGCCGTCTTACGCAGGTTTGACTATATAACTTTCTCAAAGGGCAAAACATATCTTGAAGGTCCTATATATGTGCAAGTTGCGCATAAAGATCCCTTGGTGGTCCTAAAATTGATAAGAGTAGGCTTTGAGTCACTTTGACTGCCACCCACGCAAAATTCAAAATTAATTCCTCCTACTAAACTGAAAATACTCTAATTATTAGAGTTTAAAAATGTGTCGCGACGTGGTGGAATCAGGCACTCGTAAATTTTTGGGCATCTGGGGTTATTAGTATCATCTTAAAGCCTGTTCATTTGCCTTTCTTTTGGTGAAAAATATATCCATCTAGATCTAAATTCTATGTTGAACAGAAGTCAAAATATATTTGCGATTGAAGGAGGTTGAGGGTCGCCTGGTTTCAGAGGTGTTTATAAGCGAGGAAATGGCCACCAAAGTGTGGTAGTCTCCATAGCTTGAGAGTCCTTGGAAACTGAAAATTAATACTTTTTGTGTCTTTAAGCAATGTTTTTCAGTGAAATCCACGCATAAATATGTTTTTAAATGGATATAAAAGATGTTTAGCCAAAAAAAGAAATTTTTAGGAAAAAACAACTGCTCAACAGTCAGAAAAATGCCAATTTCTTTGATTTTACTACTTTGACGAGCACCTGATTTCACCACGATGCCTCACAAATGTATCGAGTACCTTCCTTCAAAATTGAAATATGTGGCTGCCTGAAAGCAGAATGCCCTACTAAGTAGGAAAAACAGTCACATACACATAAAAATTAGTTGCACTGCAGACTGAGGAATCAGCAGTTGACTACCACTGAAATCTAGCAAGACAGCTAGGGAAGGCAAAGAAGAACTAAGTTAAGAAGAACTTGCATCAACTTATCAGACAACAAATGACCAACCTAGTGGCGCATAGTTCAATGGCTGGGCCACTCATGTTTGCTTTTTATATTAATTGTTCTTCAAACGTTCGTTAGTTTTAATTCTCTCATTTTATTGTTTCCAAAATTTCTTTGATGGAGAAAGCTATATAGCATCAAAAAGCATTCCAGTTTTTTGTTTTAGGGTTTTAACTTAGAGAGAAAAAAAATGAGTGAATCAAGAATTGTCAAGTTAATCCTGATATCTTGTCAGGCCAGATGCCAATATATAAATTAAAATGACTGTTTTACTTTTACTGCTTGGGATGGAACTGAGTGACATGCAGAGTCCTAGCAGCCCTGCTCTTCAATTAATTGTATCAATGGGGACATTTTAGTTTTTTCAATGTGAACAGACTTCATCAAGCTCTCGTCTCTGTCTCTCTCTGTCTGTCTCTGTCTCTGTCTCTCTGTCTCTGTCTCTCTCTGTCTCTGTCTCTCTCTGTCTCTCTCTCTCTTTTTTTCTCTTACAAACACTCACACACACACACACAGACGCACATACACATACACACACGCACACAGGGACAAGAACTGTTATGCTGGTGTCATGTTGAGAGGATCTGTTTATGTATGACGCTTTATATGTTTCTCAATTTGAATTGCTAACTTTTATTAGCAAAGTTTTTCTTTGCTGTCTGGTTTAATATTTGTCATCACTTTCCATTTCAGGTCGAAGTCTCTATGGCAGAGTGACTTTGCACGAAGTATTTACGGAGGACAGATCATCGGTCACTGCTTGGTAGCAGCTTCCCAAAGCATTCCTAAGGGCCAGCAAATTCATAGTTTGCACGCTTACTTTTTAAAACCAGGTGCAGTACTTTTTTTTCCTTCTTCATGCCATAGGTCTAGATGTCTGTTTTTAATAATTATTTTCTTATTCTCTGATAATTTTTTATGTACAGCATTACTTTTGTGTGCATTATCATGATATACCAGGTGATTATTTGAGCCTTTCACTTTCTGAAATGATCAATGTATGGCATGCCTTTATTTTTGCCATTGATAACATACAACCGAACAGGAACCGGAAGACTTCAAATGATAGAAGGCGAAATATACCCACTTATCAATCACAATCTGTGTAAAATTATGTGTTTAGGAATACGATTTACTTTTCAAAATGTATTAAAGTAATTCTTTTATATATTTAACATTTTTTAGCTTATCTTTAAGAAGGGAATAGTTAGCATGTTTCAGCTTTAAAAATGCCATCACGTGATAGTGAATGATTTACCTATCTCATGTGATATTTCAGGCTGTGTTGTTTGGCGTGTATCAAATATCCAACTGTTCATGCTTTATTCTTTTTCAAATATATGTAGATCTATTCTTAACTTCTGTTAAGCATTGCTTGTTTTAGCTAAACACAAATCCACCTATCTGATTTGTAGAAATAAAGGTGTCTGGCCTACATATTTGTTCTTCATCTTTTGTCAAACAGGTCGCTCTGATGTTCCTATCTTGTACCATGTGGACAATACCCGAGACGGACGTTCTTACTGCTCCCGTTCAGTCAAGGCAACGCAGGATGGACATGCTTTGACTACAATGCAAGCCTCTTTCAAACTTGAGGAATCCAGCCCTACAAATTTCCAACTTCAGATGCCAGATGTCCCACCACCTGAGGATGTGCAAACACATGAGGAAGTCTTTGATCTCTTAAGAGAGTATGTTAACTCATTCGCTACGTATTATTTTCGGCTTGTAGACGAATTTTTTTCGGGAGGGCGAAATGAGATAATGACTAGTGCGCAGTTCACAGGTCTTTGGGGCCATAAATTCAAATAAATATCAACATATTATATTCCAACATTTTCAGTATGGTTTGTAGAATACACCTGTATTGTTTATTTGTGTATTTTTCAACTTTCGTTCCTGTAAGAGGCGATTATGCAATACAATTGTGATTGGATGCAGATAAAATTTGAAAATATAAAATTAATAATCTCAGGTAAAACAAAAAAAATATGTTTGCACCTAGTCAAATGATACATCAAAATAACCACAACTGTATGTAGAACAGGAAAATATTGAACAACGAGCAGTTATTTACATACATTCCATAATATTTGTACATTTGGATCATAACATCTGATATTGAAAAAAAATAATTTTGAAAATAATTTTGAAAAAAGGATCACAAACAGAAAAAAGCAATCGCATCTTATATGGAATTATTCAGAATTGCATTTGGAATAAACCTATACATGTCTTGAGTGGTATTTTTTAATAGTAATTTCACCAAAAAGTAGTGATTTTGGGGAGAAAAAAATAATTTGACTATTTACATCTAGGCCTAGATCTAGATCTAGCACTCAAAAATATTGATTTTTCAATTACAGTAGTGCTCTGGCAATTTGAGTCCAATAGTATCAATATTATAAAGAAGAGTCCTACATTTCTTTAGTGAGCAAAATAATGATACCTTTTGTTGTGTAAAAGTACTAAGACTGGTGTCTGGGCTACAATTTGGGCTTCGCGATAAAACAATGTCGCATAAACTTCGAAATCGTGTTTCAAAACCGAATCAAAACTTTCGATTTTCGTTTTTTCGGTGGAAACGCTTGACACGGAAGTCAACATTATATTATGACCTTTATTTTAACATGGATATGTGGATTGGAATAGAAACCAAGCTAAAATTGTTAGCGTACTGACAGCATTTTAGCCGCGCCGCCCCCCACGGCTCGGCGTAGCGAATGAGTTAAGTTACGTAGGCCTGTCATTCCAAAAATAACACAGATGTGAGCAAGTGTTCTCCATCTGACACGCTCTTGAGTTATCTTCTCTGCTTCCCTCCTATTTGACGTTTACTCTAAGCAGCTCTTACCTCTCTTTATTGACCTTACTCCTCCTTGTTTTGTTTGAAGCTCAAACCAAAAGGAAAAAGTAGAGAAAGATACACATACATGCATTTAGTAGAATTGATTGTGCATTTATGATAAAATGAAAACAAGTTAAAAAAGAAAAATCCAACTAATGAAAAAAACTGTTTGATCAGGGGTTCTTTCATATAATGGTACTGTGCATTTTGACACATATAGACTAGTTTTCGCAAAAAGGCTAGAGTTTATTAGTATTTCGATTTTTGCATCATTATTATTGTTGACCAACATGAAGAAGGCCAGATGAGAAAATTTCGTGAAAGGAATTTTTGTATCACATAACATATGTAAGTACTTTGCGTCATGTTATACTTGTTTTATGCAGACTTGCCATGTGCCCCGATAAAATCAGAGCCCTCCAAATTTTTTTGCTCGTCGAAGAAATCGGATTTGCATAAAATCTGATTTCTTTCTTAGATTTCATTTCCATCAGCGGTACTCAACTTATTGTAAATTGCATGGAAATATACAGGTTTATTTGCATAACATTTAAGTAAATGACATGAAAAATTTGAAGGTTTATTTGCGATATGTGCACGATTTTTCTTAACATAATAATATTGTTTGGCAGCCGGTATTTTCACGACATGTTGGGGAATAAAAATCCGTCCGCGTTTTGACGACTTGTTTTTCTCTTTGGATCAATCAGTAAACAGCTGGGTCATGCCAGAAGGTGTATACCCTATCTGCCCTCTGCTGTTCATTTTTTTTTCTCTTCTCTCTCTCTCTCTCTCTCTCTCTCTCTCTCTCTCTCTCTCTCTCTCTCTTCAAAGTTTTTTCAAACCCATGGTGCGGCAAGTACAGAATTTCGGGATGTAGGCTACGGGTTTTGCAAGGGAAAGTTGGAAGCACAATCACCACCTGTCGCTAATCCGGTAGTTTTGACACCTGAATCGGAATGGTGGTAGAACAGGTCCAAAATCGGAAACTAGATCTATATCTACTCAAAAAAAATTGTATTTTAACTAAGAGGTCTTGACCTCTGCAGTAAGAGCCGGTATGTCTTCGACATGTCGTGAAAACGCACATAGATTTTTTTCCACAACAGGTCGTGAAAAGGTGCATACATTTTTTTTTCCTTGACATGTTGTGCACATACCGGTTGCTTATTTTTTTTCATATATTTGCAATACAATTTACAATTAGTTTACCAAGGTTAATCTACTGGAATTTTGGAGACTTCAATATTTTTTTTTCTCCAAACTCTGATTTTTGGGAGGATTCTGAGGAAAACTATTTAGGGTCATGGCATGGTTGACTGGTCCGTTTATATTCTTGGTTGTGCCACCGCTTACTTTTTTTTTTTCTGATGTGGTTTGCTTTTGAAGACATTTAGTCTGCTGCATTGTGGAATTTGAAATGAAACAAAATGATATCTAATATTTGTGTGTTTGTCTGTCTGTCTGTCTTTCAGGAACGATGTGATATCAGAGAAGCAGTCTAAATTTGGCAGGGATTGGTATGGTTCTTTCCCTATAATGATGAAGTGGGTTGATCCGGCTGACTTCATGTACTTGGAGCCACGGCAACCAAAACGTTGCCTCTGGATGAAAGCGAAAGGTCATATAGGTAAGTGTGTGTTATGCTGGTGAGAAGTATTTTAACCCTATCCGTACGCCTTGGGGTCATTTTGTACCCCCGGGGTTGCATTCTTCACATTTGAGAATACTTCTAGTACGAAGATCTCTTTGAAACTTTTAGTATTTCTAAAAAAATCATTTTGACAGACTGCTTTGCAAGGTGTATGAATCAGATTAACAAGTAAATTTCCTCTTTGAAAGTGGGGGCACAAAGTTCCCCATGTCGTATTGATGCGATAGTAAAACACGATGTACAGATAGGGTTAATGAAGTACAAGAATGATGTTTAGTTCCTCATCTCTCTCTCTCCCTTCCTTTTTTTCTCGAATGTTTAATTCTTATTGTCCGTGTTTCATTTCTTCGCATCTTCCTTTTCTTTTTCAATCAAACGGAAACTTTTTCTTTCCACATGCCCCCTCCTCAAGTACCCCAGCTTCCCCCCCCCTTTTTTTTTCCTTCCTTTTCGAAAAAAAACTCTGTTCCCCTTCTTATTAGCTTCTCTGATCGCTGTGATGTTGTTAAATTGAAAAACTTGGCCAGCTCATGGAAGTTTCGGGTTCCTGTCCTCTTTGTCATCTCGTCCTGGAGTCCTGCCTTTTAAATGTCATGCAGAATGACTAGTAAGGCATTAACTTTTTGCAAATGTGAAAAGCAAACTAGATGTATCTTCTATCTTTTTTTTCTCCGGACACACTTATTAAGCTAGTCCTAGCTTCTCACCTCAATACCATTCTATTTATAATTTCTCTTGCACTCTCCCCTCTTCTTCCCCTGTTTTGTCATTAGGCCTACCCGTCCTTCACATTCACTCCTTTTCCTTAATGCTACTTCACCCCCCCCCTCCTTATTGGTTTTGTACTTTAAATAAATGGAGCTATAGTTTACGAGAGGTGAGGATCTGTGGTGTCACTCCTTTCACAGGCTTTTGTGTCTTCTATTGTAATAAGATAAATTGTGAGGCAGCGTGGTGAAATCAGGCTCTTGTCAAAATGATCAAAGTGAAGAAACTTGCTTTTTTTCGCAGGTTTATGAATTTTTATCAAATTTTTGTTTTTTGGTTCAACACCCTTTCATGCCCATTAAAGAACTCATTTCTGTTTAGATTTTTCTGAAAAACTTTGATGAAAGGCACAAAAAATGTAAATTTTCAGTTACCACGGACTCTTAAGCTAAGGAAATAACTTATCTTTGGAGGCAATTTTCTCACTAATTTTAACTCTGAAAACAGGTGACCTCCACCTCCTTCATTCGCAAATATCTTGACTTGTATTCAAGATAAATGGATATTTTTTCCATCCAAATAAAGACAAGTGAACAAGCTTTAAGATGATACCAATAACTCTACATGCCCAAAAATTGACGAGAGCCTGATTCCACCACGATGCCTCACAATTATATTTTATAGAACTACCTTTTAATTTATAAATCTGTCTGTTCTGTTTTGATATCTTGAATAATAGTTTTACTTGCTATGAGTTTTTAAAAAATTCTTTGATTACTGCTAGCCAGTATACTGTAAACTTTCATTCTAATCACTAAACTTGATTTTAGGTTCCCCTAATGCAAGTTTTTAATCTGTCCCCGCACATCACTAAAACCAGGGACACCTGTCAAACATGAAGCATCAGTAGACATGAGAACAACTTTTAATGGATTGAAAATTATAACATGCTCATTAACCAAGATCTTCTAACAAGGGAAATTACCAACTTTTCACTTAAATGAGGCATATTAAAGTGATTACTTCCCTTTGGTCACATGGCGACGCTTTAATTAATTGTTTTGTGAAAAAAAACGTTTAAAAAACGTGGGGAACCCAAAATTTTGCAAATGTTGCAGAATTACATGTACGCGAAAAAACGCGTCCGCGCCGCACAATCGCATAATCCTACGTGGACAGGTTGAGTCCGAGTTCCACTGTACTATGTTCTGTTTTCAATTTTTCTGTACATAAAACATGAAAATTCTTGTTGAAAAAGTGCAAAATAGGACGCCAATGGTGTTATGGTAACTTGCATAATTTTGCATTTTTCTTGCATAATTTGGCGATCTAAATTTGCTTAATTCTACGGGGACTGTTTAATGTTGACCTAGACATCTCACACAGAAATCAAATGTAAAATTATTTCAAGTAAAAATAGTTACCGAGGTTTTATGTAATGTAAATGTAAGGTTACAAATTATTATTGTCATTGTGCATGGTGTGTAGGTTTGATTTTCAGACAATTTGAAACTACAATTTTTTTACTACCCTCCACCCATTGTATATGTTTTGTTTTGTTTATTTCCTTAACTGAATTTTTAACGATTCCCTTTAGTTGTAATATGATTCTCTTTAAATGAAACAAGCAGCTGTCATTTGTGTTTGATTGATAAGTGTTACCTGTATCAGTATGTTTGCTTTGAAAATCCATGATATATATCAACAGTAGGCTACATTAGTCATTAGGCATTGTGGTCGTCATGTCAGACCGTTTATTTAGGATTTTGTATTCAGCTACTTACTCTCTTTTCTTGTTTCCACAGGAGCTGATATGGATCAGAACACTCACAAGTGTTGTATTGGATACATGTCAGACTTATTCCTTCTACAGACATCATTCCAGCAAGTGGCTCCACTAAAATTTTCTGAAGTGGTTGCTGCCTCTTTGGATCACTCCATGTGGTTCCATGCGCCCTGTCGAGCGGATGAGTGGTTGCTTTTTGAAATCCAAACAGAACACACGGGTATGTTCTTCTGTCCAAGTTTTTTTTTCTCTTTCTTTTCATTCTTTTTGTGCAGGTATAGGTGTTTTGAGTTTAATAGACGTATTATCCAGGTGAAAACTTAATAAAAATTTTACCAAGTTTAACTCACTTCAGACGGGTCACACAACAGTTGCGTGACCCCCGCCGCGACGCTCGCGACGGGTCACACGAGCCCTGCGTGACCAACTTTGGAATTTTTTTTTCGCTCTACAAATCACGCACGGATCGCGAGACCCGCCTCGTACCCTTGTTTGGCCAAGCCTGAGCTACCTAGACTTCGTTTCGTATCTCTGGGGCCGGTAGTTTTTAAGTTATTGAAGGTGAAGGACAGTGACCCCAACTGGGGTTGAACAGACCGGAACTCGCGCTTTGTTTTTTTCTATACAGCTCATAGTAATCCGACAGTCGCGTCGTAGTAACGGTCGAAGAAGTCGCATGAACCAGAATCACATAATTTCGCCGTTTTCTATACTTCTGTACGTTTTACTAGTTTTAGTGTCTCAGAATATGATGTGTCTAATAGTTAGGATCCTGGATATGTACCTGAACACGGCCCGAGTCGTAGTTTTAGGGCTAGATCTAGCACTAGTACCGGTGTTGTTTTTCGCGCAACGAAATCACAACGTCGTGCTGTACATCTGTCTCATGTAATTCAGTGTATGGGTCTGAATCAATGCACAGACCAGCTTTTATATATTCACCAAACACTCGCACATGTATACAAATCAAACCAGAACACTTTGAACTTTTATTTTTGTTGTTGTAGTGAATTTCATTCCACTTGTCACGTCTCTGGAAATTTTTTGGAAAATCAAATTCATGCCAATTTTTAAAAAATCATACAAATTAAAGTATTAAACTTAGACAACTTTGGTTTTTTGTATTAGATTAAGCTTGAATGTTACTTTACTGTGTCAAAAAATAATTACAATAGGGTAATTCTGAGAGTTGTGGTGATTTATTGAAATACCCCCCAAACGCCAGTCTTCAACGCTTGTGACTGGTGAAAGGGCCCAGTCGCAAGTGAGTTAATCAAAGGTAAATAAGGGCTAATGGCCCCGTCCATGTGAACCCTTAGTGGTGCAAATGGTCAGGGTGGTGTGGTTGTGAAATCTCACCAGTGCTTGTGAGAGTGTTCGAATGATGCTCCAGCTCGGCAACTTTCATGGGTAGGCAAAGGTGTGAATTAGTTCAATTAGTTTGACCGATGGGCCAGCTGAGTAAAGAGTTCCTCGAATCATTGTTACGTGCATTGGAGGGGTGGCATTGGTTGACTGTGCTTATTAGTATATTATTATACTGATGGGTGGGGATAAGGGTGGAAGCAAAGGCGATGTTCAAACTTTTCTGTTTTTAATAGGTCGAACAATAGTCCTATGGAATGCAAGAACTAGTGGCAATGGATAAGCAGGACTGATGCCTGCCATTATTATCAGAAAGAGTAGCACTTGAGAATGAGAGGTCTGAAGTTTTGACCACTGCTTGCTGACTGGACAAACGACTCTTGATCCCATCGGCTGGGCCTTTGAAACCCCCCTCCATCTCCCTGTAAATTCCCATCCAAGACAGAATTTTTTTCTTGCTCCCCTTTCCATCTCACCCTGAATTCCTGTCTAAGATGGCATTTTTTTCTGGCTATCTTGCTTTCTGTCTTACACAGGTTCAACTGTACTTTGAAAACCAGCTATTAAAAAACCCCCCCAAAAAACACACTGCCGTTACAACAGTTTATCTTAGATAGTAAATATTCACACATTATTTCCACCCGCTTCGACAGTTTTGTCTTTATTTTCATTTCATACTTTGAGGTTTACACCCACTAGATCAGATACAGACATTAGGTTAATTTTAGGTGGTTTGCGAAGCTCAGCAGTAAGACTAAGACTAAGACTAGAGATGAAATGATGGCTAAGACGGTGCATCGAACTTTTCTAAGTAGATAACACGTCTGAGCTTAGACTTAGAGTTAGATGTACAGTATAATCCACTTATATCGACTGCCAATGTTTCGACATATTGACATATTTTCCTATTACGAAATTTTTACTTCACTTCAATATCTTCACTAAACAATTCCTCTTACAGACGTTTTTTTGCGGCCCATTCTGCTTTATCGACAGGCTTCCAGGGTACCTGGTGAAGCCCACGAACATAAATGGGGGGAAAAAGCCACTGAAACACTGTCTACACATTAGTTCTTCATTTAGTCCGCATACCGGCCAAGTAGACTATTCGACACACAAGGCTCTAGTAGGTCATGTAGGGCCTACACGGTGTAGTCTCCTTGTTTTGTTTTAGTAGAGGTTTTACGGCGCTCACAACTGCATAAGGTCATATGAGCAGCAGAAGTTTAGGTGTTACAAGAGAGTAACAAACCTAAAAAAGGAGGAGAGAAAGGACGATAGATGTTTGATAGGAAAGAAGAAGCAAACCATACAAGAGCACCCGCCAACCACGCACGTGTAGTAGTGTAGTCTCCAACATAGTACAGTGCCTCACAGACGTGAGGGTCTCGGGTGCTGGGCATCAACTCCCTATCCTCACTCCCCTTCCCCATCCCATTCTCAGTTTGTCGCTGGCAAGTGCCACGGGTAACGAGTCAGTGCCTCGCCTTTCCATTTTCCCCAGCAAGCGGCTGTGAACAGGCTTCTACAAAGTTTGTGTTTGTGTGTACTGTGTGCCTCGCGTTGCTCGCTCTTTGGTGCCATACCACTGACCTCCCCTTGTTTTTTCCTCTTTGGCTTTATTATATTTCATTTATTGACATCAAATCCACTTCCCAAAGCATGTCGACATACTTATTTATAAGTGGGTTATACTGTATGTTATTTCACCGTTAAATCGTTGGAAAACAATGCACTTCATGGTAGTGTGCAGTGTGTCAATTTATTTACCTGAGCCTACTCTCGGGGTACATATATTTGCCTGCGCTGATTAAATCAAAAGAGATAGTAATAGTAGTAAATAAAGAATAACTTAAAGGACTTAGAACAGATGGGTGACGGGAAAAGACAGGGATAATTTAGTCGGGCACAGACAACACAAACACTCGGAAAGCTCAAAATGATTTATGGTTTTGTACAATTTGCTATTCCCCGACTTATAATAATTTATATACGTGTCACGACATGGTGGAATCAGGCGCTTGTCAATATTTGGCTGTCCCCGTGGTTTTATGCACCCCGCATAATTTAGTAAAATTTGATCATTTTTTGCATAATTTCTGATTATTTTCCTTTATCATTCTTTGTTAAAAGGACCCAGAACCGCATAATTTCACATTTTTGGGCTCAGTTTGCATAATTTTTGAATTTTTCTTGCATAAAATGACAGGGACAGATTTGGGCAGATGGAGTTGTTGGTATAATCTTAAAGTTTTTTTTATTTGTCTTTCTTTCTGTGAATAAAATACCAATCGATCTTGAATAGAAGTAGAGATTTTTACGATAGAAGGAGGTGGTCATGGTAGCATGTTTTCTGAGGTAACATTTGTGAGAAAATGGCTGCCAAAGTTTGGTAACATTTATAGTTTGAGAGTCCTTGAGACTGAAAATATACCTATTTTGTGCTGTTATTTATAATTAAGCAACGTTTTTATTAAAATTCGCATGGAAATGTATTTTCATGTGGACACAAAAGGTGATGAGCCAAAAAACAAAAATTCAACCAATAATATTGCCACATTCAAGGAAGGAAAATGCCTGTTTCTTCAATTTCATAATTTTGACGAGCGCCATGATGCCTCACATATTAATTGATATCTTTAAAATTTTTTGTTACATCAGTTTTTATATGGATAAAAAATATACAGGTATATATGGAAACACATTTGTCAATCCTCGACGTGTACGAGCTATCCATGCCTGACTATAGGTTGCTTAAATTTTTTTAGAGCATTAGAGTTGAGAATTGGTGTCTGTTTCAGACTTGACACATGAAAGAAATCTACAATTCTTTCTGTTTATTTTGTGCACACAATATCGACTTACCATTGCCTAAATTGTATAGTACATTTCATTTGGTTGTAGTATTGCCAAGGATATTTAGTGACTGTTCTGTGCTTAACTTATTAAATTGTCATTCCTGTAGTGTTATCTAATGCAGTGTACTATAGTGTAAGAAAAAGTTTTTTATTTTGTTGTTATTATTATTTTAAAAAAATTGTGATATGCTCGAATAAATTAATACATGTGTAATGTATATCAAAGGGCGTAAGTTATATTTTTTGCCTTTTTGTCAATTTCAGGAGGTGGCCGCTCTCTTTGCCATGGAAGAATATGGAACCGCAGAGGAGATTTAGTGATTTCTGTTGCTCAGGAAGGAGTTTTAAGAACTAAAACCCCTTCAAAACTGTGATGAAACTAGTCACAATCACATTGCAGATGTCAAGGTCAAAATATGCTGTACCATATTTTGAAAGGGTGGGCCAGTTTTTGTAAGGTCACCAGTGTGAATGTACAGGTAGAAGTAGAGAGTGTGGGTTTGTTTTCTTCAAATAACAGTGACGAGGGTCTGCGTACAGAGATACAACCATTATCAACTATCCACAAGTTAAAAAACAAAGGTAACAGGCAATCTTGTGACAATGACAGAGGCATGTAGTTAGTATGTAGCAAATGCACTGGCGGGGTACAGCAGACATGACCTTTGGGTCCAGGCAGATCCAGAAAAAATGCGTAGAGTAGAATCAAGTGTTGTACATGACCTTTGTTGATCTGAGAAAGGCCTTTGAAACCTGTAGTTGGGAATGGAAGCCTTATGAGGAAAACGCTGGTGAAGTGCGGTTGTCCTCCGAAGTTCATTACTATGGTACATCAATTTCCTGACGATTTGTTGAAAGCCAGCTGCAAGAACAGTGATGATATGACTGTAGCCTTTCGTGTGATAGTTTACTCTGTAATGAATTCAGGGAACTTCTGTGATTTTTTTATTTACAAAGATGTAGTACAGTAGTGATTTAAATCTCGTTTTTTTATTTCTCTCAAAATGTGTATGATGAGTATTTAGTGGTGAAAATTGATATCAGCAGAAAAGAATCTTATACTTATACTGTCTCAATCTCAGATTTTTTGCATTTTTCACCTGATTAAAAAATATCTTTCCTTAATGATATTCTGCTTTAAAAGACATTTTTATTTATTTATATTTAATATTCAAAGTACCTGGGTAAGTTTATGAATTCAATGAGTCTTTACAGAGTTACAGAATCTTTTTTTTCTTCTTTTAGTTACACCACCAATTTCACATTGAGACTAAAGTTGTCTTGAAAATATTGAACTTAAAGACTACAATAGTATGAGCTGAAAGTTTGAAAACATATTGTTTAAATCCTGTAAATTGTGAGGTAGAATTAAGACTTTTTTGGCAGCGACAAACTGGTGCACTTTTGAATGCTTGACAATCTTGTGTGCCATAGTTATTTACCTCTATGTAAATTTGTGTGCAATAGTTATTTATTAAAATCTATGTCTACCTTAGAGACTACCTATGTGATCTTCAGTCATGTAGACTTAAACAAGAAAACGGTACCGGTAGTTACGGCTTGGTGCAGGAGAAATATATATATATATATATTATAATATATGAACGCACAGATGAACCAGTAGTACTTGTTAGCAGGGCTAATTGTTTTTCATTGTATCCCAGGTCACTGTTTATGGGTTTACTAATGTACAGGGTAATTTGTTGATTTTAATCAGTACAAAACTGGAGATCCATTCAAGTTAGGTCAAGTTGGATGCAAGGTTCAATGTTCGGTATACTTTATAATAATAGTCTCATTTCATGAATTGAATGGTCCTTCCGGTGCCCATAAAGCATAGATGAGACATGTTTTACTTTGTTCCCTCAACCTGATTATTTAGGCATTTTCCTCCTAAATAACTTGGGAGGGCTCATAATGCCCTTTCCAATGACAAAGGAGTGGACAGAGTAAAATACTTATGAGTGTATGAATCTGCTGATTTTTATTTCTATATATATGTACCTCCCTGCAACCATATAATGCTGAATTGAACAAATATACCTCAGGATATATCGCTTTTGGTCAATGATACTTTTTGCATGGAAATTATATGCACTTCAGCTTGAATATAAAAATATTTTTGCTGCCTATACTTTGCCTTGGCTTTCTTGTTTCTTAAAATTTAAAAGTATAGTTATCCAGTGTCTGTGACGTTACACCTTGCTGTCCCCGTAGAATTATGCGAATTTAAATGGCCAAATTATGCACAAAAAAGTCAAATTATGCAAAAATTATGCAAGTTACCGTAACACCATTCGCGACATGTTTTGCACTTTTTCAACACAAATTTTCATGACTTTTATGTTTTAAGTACAGAGGAATTTAAAACAGAACATATCAGTATCAGTAATTTGTAGTGTATTTGGAAAGAAAACAATACACATCTGTAAAAAAAAAAACAAACAACAAAAAATATAATCTCTGTAACTTTCAGCTGTAGATCTAGATCTAGATCTGGGAAAGAAAAATGTAAAAAAAAAAAATAAAAAAAAGGAAAAAGGACATCTGGACCTCTGATGCTGGCACATTACTAAAACCAGGAACACCTGTCAAACATGAAGCATCAGCAGACATGAGAACAACTTTTGATGGATTGAAAAATTGAACATGCTCAAGGAACAAAATCCCAAACCATAACCAAGATCTTCTACCAAGGGAAATAACCAAGTTTTCACTTAAATAAGACTTATCACGGTGATTATTTCCCTTTAGTCACATGGCGAGGCGTTAATTAATAAAATTGTTTTGTTTTAAAAAAAAGGAAAAAAACGTGAAAAAACGTGGGGAATCCAAAATTATGCAAATGTGCAGAATTACGCGAAAAAAAACGCACAATCGCATAATCGTACGGGGACAGACTTTGGCGCTTTGCTGTCACATACAGAAGGCATTAGTTCAGTTCCAATGTGGGGACAATTTGTATTGAGTGTCTTGGTCTCTCACTCTCAGCTGGGATGTTGTATCTTTCCCAGCCCAAGTTAGCATCAACTAGTGTAGCGACAGCAGGGTCGAAGCCCACCTCCTAAAAGATCTAAACTGTGGTGACGGGGCATAAAAATGGTCCCTTTTTTGTTTTGTTTACTGAGGTAGGCCACAATATCGCCCAGTTATACTGAATTACGCCCCTGCAGGTGGGGGGCAGGAAGTCAGGCAGCTGCATAACAAAGAAAGTTTTGGATTGGAACCCACAGGGTAAGAGATCAAGGGGAAGACCGCGTGGAACCTGGAGAAGAATCAAAGAAATCGATGTACAGAAAAGTGGGAAGACATAGAATAACATCAAGAGGCTAGCTCAGGATAGAGAAATGTGGAGGATGTTTGTCCGTGGCCTGTACCCTGGTGCAGGGTGAGAAAGACAATGATGATGATGATGATGATGATGATACTGAATTAGGAGGAAATGAACTCTCAGTTAACTGAACTTTTGACTTGGCCCCCAATTTTTTTCATTTCCCCCCCCCCCCCCCCCCCCTCCAGGAGTGGGTTCTATTATTTTAGCAATATAAAGCTAAACAATTTTGACATCCATATTTGAGGAGTCTACGAGGAGAAACATGGAAGGTCACAAAATCAGAATTGCAAGAAGATTCAAATTTGAAAGCTTGAAAATTGGACGGTCGATTATTTTTTTCTTTCATGAATGTGTGCTTATTTTACAACAAGCAAAAAATGAAGGGACTTCAGAATATCTTTTTATCTGCAGCAATACCATTTAGTCCAAGTTTGTAACCTTGCCCATTTTCCTCATGGACTCGTCGTTCGAGTTCTAGGTGTCCAAATAGCCGAAAAAGAATCCAGATCGAATGCTATTCAAACACCATCAATTTTGGAATCATAAAATAGCACTAATATTCAGGCATATATTATAAATATTTATTTCCAATCTGGTAAGCACTTTCTTACCCATAAGAAACAAAAATGTTTATAGGCCAGGAAGCACCATCATGCACCTGCCATACTTTTTGTTACAGTGTTGAAAATTGCACATATATATAATATTATATGTGTCAGGATGCAGTGGAATCACACGCTCGTCAAATTTTGGGCAAGTGGAGTTATTGGTATCATCTTAAGGCTTTTTCTTTTGTCTTGTTATCAATTAAAAAATATCTATTTATCTTGAATACAAGTCGAGATATTTGCGATTGAAGGAGTTAGGGATCGCCCGGTTTCAGAGGTAAAATTAGTGGAAAATGGCTGCCAAAGTTTAGTCATTTCCTTAGCTTTGAGAGTTTATAGAAACAGAAAATTTACATTTTTTGTGCCTTTAATCAACATTTTTCAGTGCTATCCACACAGCAATGTGTTCTTTAATGGACATGGCAGGTGTTGAGCTAAAAAAATAAAAATTTGATAAAAATTCCCAAAACCTGCAGAAAATGCCAGTTTCTTCACTTTCTTTATTTTGACGAGTGCCTGATTTCACGACACAGCCCCACATATATACACATTTAGTCCAGTCAATTTGTGATTTCACCTTTAAAAATTGCAAGAGATTTTATTTTTAGGTATAGTGTAACTCAGATCTAAAAAAATCGGAGTTCAGATGGCTTACAAAAAATATTTATTAATCCTCTCCGTCCGCCTTCGGGTCATTTTGTACTCCTGGGGTTGTATTCTTCACATTTTAGAATCTTACTACTAATGGAGCTAAGGCCAAATTTTGCGAACAGTATTTAGTTAGTTAGTTAGTAGTATAGGGTTTTACGGCGCTCGCAACTGCATAAGGTCATATGAGCGCGTGAAACACAAGTTGTTTACATTCGCAAAAGTTCACTGCACGGTTGGTTAACTATTAGACTTTAAAATGCTAAAATATTAAAATTCAGTATTAATATATTTTCAATTTAAAACAACTCTTATAAATAACAATAAAAGTTTTAAATAGTACGATTTCACTTTACAATTTGCCATAAAGGCCAATGGCCTTCGTAAAATTCAAAATTCTGCTGGGACCAACGACGGAAAAAATGTCTTGCAATTTCTTGCATTCATAATATTTCCTTCTGATCTCTCCAAAGTCTAGACATTCGGTTAAGATGTGTTTAATGGTAAAATCTGTGTCGCATCCAACACAGAACAGCTTCTCATCTCCCTGTAGGAGGTATTTGTGGGTCAGGGCCGTGTGTCCGATGCGCAATCGAGTAAAAATTACTTCGTCTCTTCTGGAGAGGTCCGAAGGATTTCGCTGTTCTAGTTTGGGTGTTATAACATATAGCAGCCTATATTGTTTTTCTGTTTTTCCCAGTGGCTCTCCCACAGACTGGAGGTGTACTTTTTGACTTTATTTCTAAAGTCAGTCTGAGGGAGAGTGTTTGTCGTTGATCCCAGCAGAAGGGACGAGGCTTTCTTCGCCAGGTCGTCTACCTGCTCGTTTCCTCGGATGCCCACATGGCTAGATATCCATGCGAACATGACGTTTTTTCCTGTTTCGGATAGTGTATGAATTTTCTGTAGTAGCCTAACTATTTGGTGTAGATTGACTGGACTAATTTAAATTACATTTTTATTTTACACATTTATTCACAAAAAGAGGGCAATTTCTCAAAAAATATAATATATACAACTAAAACCGCACACATGCTAATATTTTACACAAGGATGCTTCAAGAGAATGTTTAATAAGTGACTTGACACAACTTTTCTGCACTCTGTGCACTCAACATTCAGTGTTAGCACAAAGCCATACATACAGCCTGGTTGTTTCCCAGGCCAGTCCTTGAAAACATCACATATGGGGCACATAAAGTCAGGAACTAATTTTGTCACTAGCGGAAACACAAGTTGACCCATCAATTTCCTCAGAGACTTGAGTGGCAGAAATGTGTTGGTGTTAGTTCGAGGCAGGGTTCTCTTTCACTAAGTAATGTGGTAAAAGAGTTTGAAAAAGGTGGAGAGGTTGTAGATGTCAAATCAGTATTTGAATAGGTTGCGGTGATACTGCTGATGTCCCTGCAATAGGTTGTGGTGATTCTGACGTAAACACTACAGGTTCATGTGATAATGCCATGAGTTATTTCTCTCTTTGGATATGTTGCAGGTTTAAAAGTACTGGTGTCCATTGATATGAAAGAAAAGGGCATGGGTTCGTCTTGGTATATTTTTAAAAACTCATTAGGGGTTATGCACGGCCAAAAAATATTTCCTGCTCCAACCTTTCTTTAATACCTGTCTCCCTCTATGACTCTTTAACATTCCGTTAACCCTTCCAGCACCATGTGCATATATATTTTCAACAGCGCTTGTACCTCCCACTGTCCCAAGAGTGTACATTCTCAGTTTCGAGGGATACCAAATTTGCGCATTAAAAAAAATATTTGCGAACCTAATTAAAGATTAATTTTTATAATTATAATATTTGTTCATTTACCTTTAAACATTGTTGTTATTATCTAAACCTCATTACAAAGATACTACATCACCTTTTAGAACGCATGCCTCTTTTTCTGAAATACTACTGTATAGGCTGGGACTGGGTTTAATGGAGTGCACAAAAGTGGCTGGGGCTGGAAGGGTAAAAAAACTTTTGTCAAGAAACCAGTTACATTGTATGGCTAGAGTATAACACCATATGGGCTGAAGATCCCTAGGGTAAATGACGACAGTAGAACTACAACATTCTAGCCTAGGGTCTGTGTGTAGAGTATATATACATGATGTTGCATTCCTGGCAACTAAGCCTCTTATTTTTAATTTCCTTGGCCACGTTCACATGTTGGTGGAGAGAAGCAGCCTGTCTGTACTGTAAGCGAACGCCAATGAGAACGAGCTCTGAAATTTAAAGCACTTTTTTCTGGTACACTGAAATTTGGCAAGTTGAGGGAAGAAGGGCCAACATGGTTGCAAATTGCTGAATCAGAGAGATGACAAAAAGTCTTTGAGAGAAGTTGAGTTCCCTGGTTTGCCACTCCCAGATAACATGGCTTGCAACTCCTTCTGTTTTAGAAGCTTTTTGCCTTTTGGTTGAGACTGTGATTGCAGAGGTCGTTTCAAAGTTTTTGGTGCTGGATTTTTCACAGAATTATGAACTGCATTTCCTTGAGCATTTGAGGAAAATAAAGTTTTCTTGATGTCAGCTGAATGACTGGGGGGCAGGGAATCTTTTAGTGACCTGGAAAGAGATGAAGAAACGGGAAATGAAACAGGGATAATCCACCAAAGTATATATATTTAAGTTAATTAAAATGTCCTACATATATACATATAAGTTTAGTATAGTTTCATTTGATAGAGAGACTCATTTAATGGTACCCTGTACATACAAGTGTATCTCTCTCTTTTTCTCCTAACCTCTCTTCATCCCCCTCCCACCCTTCTTCAGGGAAACTGGTCTCAATACTTTACACCGATGTTTCTCATTCACACAAAGGAGGCAGTATACATGAATACATGGAATAAAATACCAAGCAATAACAGCAATTCTTTTATATGGTTGAGCACAGAAAGAACTGAGGGGATGCATCATCTGGTATGGTTCAGCTATTTGCGTAATACAGAATCAGGGATGCCACAGGGATGTTGTAAAAATTTAAGGAAGTTGCATTTGCAAACAAAAAGACAATAGCCACAACTAATACAGGGTTGAACAGAAGACAAATGCTGAGAATAATAACAGTTATTTTCAGGGGGGAAAAAAGGAAAAACAGCATCCCTGCAGAACTTCACGGGTACAATGTTAACTAACAGTGGTGTGCTATTTGCAACAGATTGAGGAATTCACAAGCACAAAGCAGTCGTTGCATGGAAATTTATATGTGTCCGAGTATATGCCATGACATAAAAAGATAAACAGAAAGTTGAGGAAAGTAAGGCAATTCATCTATTTTCTAAGCCAAGGTTTAATTAAACACTTCAAATTAAAATGTCATAACCTTAGTTCAGCATGAGCTACAGTGTCTGTTGGCTGAGACTGAAGGCATCAGGACTTTGGGTGAATTGGTCTTAACAATGCAACCTACCATCTTTCCCTTGAAAAAAAAACTGCATCTGAAATAGAATATCTAGAACATGTGCTACACATAAAACAACCCTTTATTACACTCCAGTTATTAACAGCATGAATAATAACATAATAACAATGCTTGAAATTCTAAACAAATACATGTTCAAGCCTGACAAAAAGAGACTTTATACCAGTTTTAAAACTAATTAAACATACCCGTAACTTTCACTTTGCTCTGTTTTTCTTTTCTTCTTTTTCTTTTTTTTCTTAGAACTTTCTGTCGCATCTGGTACCACCATAGACTCCTGTGCCACTGAAAAACAAAAGCAAATTAAAAGTAGGCCAATAGCTACAAATTGTGGATGCCAACAAAAAAAAGTGTGTGTAAGAAAAACCAGCACCATGTAGAGAGATGTACAGTGGGAAAAAATGGAGACTAAAAACGTACACTGTTTGTGAGAAAAATCAAAAGGTTTGTGGGGATCAATATTTTTAAATTACAAAGAATTTCCTCAGATTTTTCATGTCCTATCTAGGCAGTGGTTGTAGAAAAAGTTCAACTGTGGATGTCACTATGCATTGGGCCCTGGCCATATAACAGGACTGAAGTGGTACCGGTATCAATGTGGTATCCGAATCCTGTTAAATTTTTATCTAGACAAGAAGGATCAAATTTACATTCACTTTTCATGAATAACAGATAGGATCATTGTATTACATAGATTACCCACTGCCAGTTAATCATTTATAGCTCCTTTCTTTTTTTTTTCCAGTGATATTTTTTTCTCCTCATCTTTGTCTTTCATTTTTCTTTTCCCACAATCTTAGCCTCATGGAGATTGACAAAACATCATTAATGGAGATGTGCAGGTAATAATAACAATAACAATGATCATAAAAAACTGCATTTATTGCACGTTTTACAACTATAGGTAGGACAAGGAACACACAAGATATAGTTCTGAACATCTGATGCCAGTTGCCCACATTTCATTCAATCATTTATTCCTGATACAAGTCTTGCCACCCAATGGGGAGACAGGAGACAATGTGACAATGAAGGTGCCAGATGACGGACACGTTAAGTCACTGATTGGAAAATCTGCGTCAATGTGTCATAAAAATGTAGGTGCAATTCGCCATGTTGGATTTGCCGTGTTGGATGTTGATTTGCTTGATATGCTTCCCCCCCCCCCTCTGCTTTCTTGTCCATTTGTGTTAGGTTTATAATCAACAAAACTATTCATTGTTGAGAAGTGGGAAATGAGTACTCTACCTTACAGTTCCTTTCTTTAGGGGGCGGGGGGTTGATTTAGAGATTGACGTTTTTCCGACTATTGGCAGACGATTTACAGGTCTGCACTAAGACTTGTAAAATTTAAAAAAAGAGCTAAAAATATTTTTTTTTTTTATAGATCTAAAAAATCGTAATAAATCGCCTTACAATCGGAATTTCGTAGTGTGGCTAAAAAATCGTAATGATTAAGAAAAAATCGGAAAGGTTGGCAGCCCTGGCAACTGTGTCAGACTAATTTTTAGGTCCAAAGAAGAAAGAAAATTTTATTTTGATGAGATGTGTGTTTGTTCTCTCATCTTCTTTTGTTAGAGTTAGAGGTTGATCTCCTGGCTTGTTTAGAGAGTGAGTGAATGCAAGTTCATTTTTGAACATCGGAGGTGTTGATGTATGTGTTGTGAGTGTTTGTGACTTCGATGGTGTCATAAGTGTTGATGAAGTGATGGCATGCGATTTTGATGAAGTGATGGTATGCGGTGTTGATGAAGTGATGGCATGCGATTTTGATGAAGTGATGGAATGCGACTTTGATGAAGTAATGGCATGCGGTGTTGATGAAGTGATGACATGTGGTGTTGATGAAGTGATGACATGTGGTGTTGATGAAGTGATGGCATGCGATTTTGATGAAGTGATGGCATGCGATTTTGATGAAGTGATGGCATGCGGTGTTGATGAAATGATAGCATGCAGTTTTGTTAGGTCAAGACTTGTTTTTTCATAATGCTCGTGACTGGATGGGAGTGTGATGGCTACTTGTTGTAGGACTGGCAATAAGATTTGTTGGTGTGTCATCATTTACAATGGGACTATAATGTGTGTGCTGTGTCATCATGTGAGCAGCTTGACTTTGGAGAATGCAGGTATTCTTTGTATGCAGCCACCAACAAGACTCAAGTGATGCCGACAAACGGAGCAGGAATTCACACTCATGCTATTGTTAAAGGCACACCGTTTGTAGCTACAAGCGTCAACAGCTTTTTTGTGGCTGCAACTGACGTGCGATATGTCTCCTTTTGATCGTTGAAATCGTGGTAAAACACTTGACGTATAAATTAAATGTGTTAGCAGAATATGGCTGTGCATCTTTGTCCCTCACATCAATTCGAATCTTTTATGTAGAGCCGATCAGACATTGATCTTCAGAGCCCGCACAGGACACTCACACACCAACAAGCACATAAACAGAATCAACCCCATGTGGGAACCCCATTACAGACACTGTGATTACCATGAGGAGACCGTTGAATATCTTCTTCTTCACTGCCCAAACCTGGCAGTTCTTCGATGCAAGCTCCTACACACACCTACAGACATACAAAGCCTGCTCTACTCTGGCGTTGACCAGATGACAAGGACATGTGGTTACTTGAGGGAGGCATTGTGCTGCCAAGAGCGAAATGCTCGCAGCTAAAGGGATTTGAAAACAACAACAACAACGCTCACATCAATCCCATAAATCAAGAGAACGTTCTTGCTATTGTTGGCTTACATAATTGGGGCTTTCTGTAACCTTTTATTTTGTTTGTTTGACAATTAAATTTAAACAACCCACACACGTGACAAAGCTCACTCAGAGACTGTCTATGGTACTCCAATATGTGACTCATTGCAGTTGAACAATTTTTACCTAGGAACACAATTCACTAACTGTAACTCGCTGCAGAATGCCACATAAACAAAATTCACACCAGTACAAAATATGATTTAATGACTATCACACGACACAAACAGAAATGAACACTATCGACTCATTTTGGAAAAATTTGTAATCAAATTCACAACAGCATTTTTGAATGCTTTACACTCACTAATTCAAACTGTTATTATTTCCAAACGAATCTACGGAAGCTGGTGAAATTTTCACAGGATATGAAGAACACGTAGAATAGGCGAATTTGATGAAGAAATAGATCCAGGGGTAGAGTGAGCATCCTTTTATGGCTTAGGAAATTAAGGTGAAAAATGCGTAAGGATAAGGACAAGATCACAGTGCATGAGTTGACCCCAGTCAATCCTCGACCCGACGCGTGAAGCTGCAGGTCACCTGCCACTGATTTATGGCATAAAACGGGAGGCCCAGGGAGACTAAAAAATCGCGGAGGCATAATATTGGATGCTGTGAAGAACAAGTAGGCCTACAGAGATTGTGTCAAATCTCACTTGTGGAATGGATTGATCGAGAGATCCAATGTAAGAACTTATGTCTATTCAGTTCCACGTTACGCTATGATACATCTTTACAAGCCTGAGTGGTGTGAGTTATTGGAAACTGATTTCAGTACCAAATTTCATTTTAAATGCAAAACACTTTCATTTGCTGACAATTTTATGTTTGATTATCTTACAAAAGTTTAATCTTTTTTCAATGAAAAATTATATTGAAGTAAATTCAACCCAGATCTGCAAACAAGTGAAGACATCGAAAGAAAAATACCATACCTTCATGAGCAAGCATGTCTTTTATGTGGAATTTCTGTTCATTCGTCACTATGGACTGCCTATTTACATGACCGCATGATGGGCACTTGGCAATCTGAAATAGTGTAGGTTAAAACAGTTTGAATCATGTGACAGACAAAAATGAATAGATTAGCTTTAGAGAAAGTACAGAAGAGTTATCACAGAAACCAACAAAAACATTGTATTGTCATTCGCTCATCCATCATGCATGAAACTTTACCGACAATGGCAAAAGACAATATTATATTGCTCGAGCATTTTCAGTGTGCCAAATCCATATAAACATACAAACTAAATTTTAAGTAAATAGATTCATCAATAGTGATCCACAATGGTTTTAAAGTCAGTATACCACAGAATAAAGAGTTAAGAGAAAGCATATAAAGATCTCTTGTTCATTGCTCCTAAACCTCTGCGGATGTAACAACCAATGATTTGCAGAAGAAAGTTATATATTTTACAGCAGCAATCAAGATTACATTAGTCCATCGCATAACATAACTATTGCAGTCTAGTATACACGTAGCGAACACACACATAGCACACAGTTTTTTCTTTAAAATGATGTATTTCTTTGTATTTAAAACATGTATAGCGAAAATCGTATGTATGTGTATTTTGACAAAACGATTTCTATGACTCGTTGATTTTGCTGTGTGAGTGCTGGACTTTATTACTTAAATTTACATGAGGTGAGCTTAACCCTATCCGTACGCCCTGGAGTCATTTTGACCCCCGGGGTTGTATTCTTCACATTTTAGAATACTTCTTGTGCGAAGATCTCTTTGAAACTTTAAAAAAAAATCATTTTGACAGACTGCTATGCAAAGCGTACGGATCGGATTAACGAGTAAATTTCCTCTTTGGAAAGTGGTGGTACAGAGCTCCCCACGTCGCAAGGATACGATTATAAAACATGACGTACGGATAGGGTTAAATTAAAAGACAATACTTATTGGGTTGTTATTATACAACATGTAGTCATCTGAGTCATCAGTGCTAACTTTTTTTTTTCTTTCTCTTTGAATGGTATTTTTTAACCACAGGAGCAAACATTTATCACAACTTACAATGGTGTTACGATTAAAACCATGTACAGAAGAGTCTGCTTAAAGTGAATTCTTTGGGCAGGAAGAAAGTGTTCACTTTATCCAAGGTTCAGTTTAACCATTTTGGTGGGGTGGAGGCCTAGAAACAGTAGCTACGCGCAGTGGTGGGTCTAGGGTGGAGGTGGGGTGGGGGACAACACAGCGGGCGAGCCTGGACTAGAGCTCTTCCTTTCTGATTTTGATTGCCGTCGTCAATGCCGACCAGGGATTGTCTGCCGATGCCCGAAGCAAAGAATTTTATTTTCACAGCATGGCGACAGTGACACGGTCGGTCCGTTCTTCGTTTCACTCATTTTGGGCGTTCACTTTATCCGATATCCCCATGAAATCGGTCCATTTTATCTACTATTTTTTTACTTAGACAAACAGCGTTTCAATCGGGACCGCTGGATATCGATCACTTTAACCGACTGTTCAAATAAAGGGTGTTCATTTTAGGTGGACTCCACTGTATAAATATGATGACACCTCAAAAAGATTTTAAAAATCAAATATTTGAAAAGCTTTTAAAATGTTTTTATTTGAAAAACAAAACAACAACAGGTGAGATATTTTTTGGAACTTAATGGAATACGTTCACCAACGTACGATCACTTGCTAGAGTTGATAAACACTGCACTTGTGTTTTGATATATTTAAACGAGTATGCTTATTGCTAACCACAGAAATGACAATACCTGTATCCAGAAAACAGGTCTAGATCTTCAGACAGGGTCAAGACCATTTCAAGTCTGCAGGGTTAGAAGAACAGTCCAGGTGTGCTTTAATCTCATTGTTCCGTTATGCTAATAGACGTTATGCTTAACACTCTTTTCACCATCTGAAGGATTTTTATAGTCAAACTCTTATAATAAATTTACAATTATTTCAGTTTCTCAGTCTTTTGACAACAGGGTACCCTGGTGAGCAAAATGACTTTTCATCAGAGATTAAACATATTCTGAAAAATGGAAATGGATACATATCTTCACAAACACTCGACAAATAAACCTTTCTCCTCTCTAATCATTGCTTTATGTAGGCCAATTTAACATCATGAAATGAAATACTTACAAGGTGACTTGAGCTCTTTAAGAATTTCTTCACAGCATTGTCTTGAAACTTTGACAGTTTTCTCTTGTCTGCCTTAGCGAGTAATTTTTGCAGCTTCTTTGTCTTTTTCTGAGCTGGTGAAAGTCGTGGGTGGTCGTGTATGGTCAGTGACCTGTAGCATGCAGCACATCTTCCATAGTCAACTTTATCTGTAAGATAATATAAAGACACATTATATAAGAAAAACATTGTGTGCTTACAAAGAAAGACACTGGAGTAGCGTATAGTGATTTTTAAAAAAGGACAAGTTCAACGGAAAATTATACTTTCAGAACTATATATGTGTCACGACTTGGTGGAATCAGGCGCTTCTCAATTTTGGGGCATATAGAGTCATTGGTATCAGCTTTATAGAGCTTTTTCATCTATCTTTGCTTTTGATGAAAGAAACACCCATCTGTCTTGAATAGAAGTTGGGATATTTGGGATTCAAGGATGTGAGGAACGACTGGTTTCAGAGGTAAAATTAGCGAGAAAATGGCCGCCAAAGTTCGATAACTTCCATAGCTTGAGAGTCCTTCGAAACCAAAAATTTGTAATTTTGGTGCTTTTAAACTTTAAACAACATTTTTGCCGTAAAATCCACAGCGAAATATGTTTTTAATTAGATGTATGAAGTGTTGAGCCCCCCAAAAAACAAAAATTCAATAAAAATTACCAAATTGGCTGAAAATTGGCGGGTATTTTTATTTTATTATTTTGACGAGCGCCTGATTTCACCAAGATGCCTCATCGTCATCAATGGCTTTCACCCCTGGCAGGGTATAGGCCACATACAAGCTCCTTCCATTTATCTCCGTTCTGGGTCATCCTTCCTAGCTCGTTCCAAGTGAGCTTCATCTCTCTCACGTCCCTTTCCACACATCTCCATGTTTCCAGTGGTCTACCCGTGCCTCGTGTCCCTGTGGGTTCCACGGCAGCGACTATCTTGTGATGTTTCCGCTCAGCTTTATGAAGGTGTGTCCCATCAATCGCAACTTTTTAAGTCCTATTTCTACTTCTATACATCCTTTTGTCCTGTCCTTTCCCACAGCTCTTCATTTCTTATTCTATCCTGCCACTTAATTCTTAGGATACTCCACATACATCTGATGATGAAAGTCTGAGCTTTATTCAGCACTGTCTTTGTTGTCTTCCAATTTCGCAGCCATAGAAGAGCACAGACTTGACATTGGAAATAAAGAGTCAAATCTTGGGGCGCAGTGAGATGTTGCTTGCTTTCCAGACTTTTGACAATAGCTTGAATGCTGATCGTACCTCGGCAGTTCTTGCTTTTACACTTTTACATCTGCCTCAGTTCCACCTTCACCATCAATGATACTTCCAAGGTAGGTTAATGAGTCCATTTCTTCCAGGGGAGTGTCTTCCACTGTCACAGCAGGGCTTGAAACTTTTCCTAACTTCACTACTTTCGACTTGCCCGCATGTTTACGTAGACCAACACCCCTTGATAGGCTGTTGAGTTCCTTGGTCTTTTGTTGCATCTGACCATGTGTGTGAGAGAGCAGTGTAAGGTCATTGGTGAAATCCAAGTCATCCAGCTGCTGCCAAGGGACCCACTTTATTCTGTTGCACTTGCCTCTGATGGCTTCTTTCATGACCCAGGCAATTGCCAGTATGAAGAGAAAAGGTGAGAGCAAGCATCCTTGTCGCACTCCTGTCTGTACCTGGAATGGTTTTGAGAGCTGTCCTTTGTGGAAGACTTGGCAGTTTGTTCCTTTACAGGTGGCCCCAACAAGCCTGATGATTTTGTCGGGTATTCCAAATCACCATAATGCCTCATGAGTTTCCACAGAGTTTCCCTGTCCATGCTGTAAAATGCCTTTGGATAATCAATAAAGTTGACCACGGGTGGCGAATTCCATTTAAGCGATTGCTCAACAATGAGGCGCAGAGTAGCGATCTGGTCCACACATGATCAGTTTTTGCGGAATTCTGCCTGGTTTCCGCAGAGCCTCTCATCTGTGGCCAGCTTGATTCTCTCGAGGAGTGTCCTGGTAAAGACTTTCCCAGGTATGGACAGGAGTGTTATGCCTCTGTAATAGTTACAATTGCTGGGGTCTCCCTTCTTTGGCAGCTTGATTAGGTGGCCTTCCTTCCAGTATGATGGTATTTCCTCCTCTTGCCAAACCTTTTCGAATAAGGCATAGAGAATTTCCACTGATGTATCTTTATCTGCCTTACGGGCTTTCAGTGGTATAAGGCAGGGACCAGCTGCAGTAATTTCCTCTCTTGAAGGTGGTTCCGAACTATCAGGAGGTTATATCTGGCTGGAAAAATTTCTGGTTGGTTTTCTGTAGGTGGTCGATTTAATTATTTTAACGAGCGCCTGATTTCACCAAGATGCCTCACATATGATAAATTATTATCAAACTCCGCAGTATGAAGAAACACAACCAAAAACAGGATGACAAAAGGATGTAAAAATGAAATTAACAAAGAACCAGACAAATAGAGTTGAAACAACCCATCCAATCAAAAAACAAGCTGTGGAAGATCGAAACAACACGCTCTGAATTGATACCATCTTTGCCAAGTAGAGCATTAGAAAGACATTTTTAATATTCGTGGATCTAAGGAGAAGTCACTCTGAGAAGAGTCGGCATGTTCAGCAAGAGGAAAAGACGGTTCAGAAATTGGCCACGTCAAGTCCAGACGCGCTTTGGTCCCCCTACATTGTCTTAATATACAGATGGGTTAAAGGGGCCAAAAAAGAAATATGATGAACATGATTACTTACTGATTCCCCTTCTGTAATTGTGCTCAATGAGAAACCTGAAATGTACACCAAAAAATTTTAAATCATTAAATAAAACAAACAATCTGGTGAGATTTCCTCCTTTCCTATCAAACATCTATCGACTCTGTCTTTCCTTCTTCTTTACTTTTTATGTTACTCTCTAGTAACATCTTTAATCTGTGAATATTTATAACCTATTCGCGTTGCATGTGTTGTAAATTTTTAAAAACTAAAACTAAGCAAAATTAAATCTCGCCATCCTTGAGACAAGCAAGACGTAAGTGCCACAATGCGGTTCTAATGCTGCCCTCTGTTACACAGCCCTGACAGTTCAACCTCAGTCTCAATAGAAATGCTGCTCAGTGATCTGTGTCCTGTCTAATGCAGACGAACTGTCATAATCCATTCACCAGCCGTTACTGTCAGTCCCTCCACTGAATGAACTGATCATGTTGTGTAGGACCCTCCCACTATTTACCCAAGTTGACAAGAATAAGTCAGTAAAAGTAAATGTTCAGGCGTGTGATCCATCATAATCTTTAAGCCCGCCCACAACTCATATAAGTAAGATGAGCAATCCGTAACAATGGACGTTAACATGAACTTGTTACAGAAGTGTCACTCATTCAGTAAGTTGTAGTGACCCAATGTTTGTTTTACCATGGCATTCGGCCATCTTCGTCAGCCACATTTCGCTTTGTTTTACCCTATTGCACAAAACGAGAAAGAACAAAAAAGAAGTCCTTAGCCTGCAACCCCCACTGGATCAGACCTCAGAAGGGAAAGCTTTGTTTTCTCTGTTTTGACCAGTTCTGCCTAAGACGGCCACCTGTCTAGAACAGCCACTTTTCTCCTCGACAATGGGTGGCCATCTTACACAGGTTCAACTGTAAATATGAAAAAGTGGAAATGAAAAATGCACTTCTTTCTTTTGTAAAACTAGTCCAAAGAACAGCCAAACCTGTCCAGATGGTCACCTGTCTGAGACAACTACCTGTACAAACGACCACTTTCCATTTCCCCCTTTGCAGTTTTTCTATAAAGGCACTGCCTAAAACAACAACCTGCCCAACCCGTCTGCGGCCACAATATTTCATCAACTAAGAGCCTAAAAAACCTGTCTAAGATGGCCACACAAATCTATTATTGTCCAACATGTTACCATTTAAATTATTAATTACTTATCTGCTCCTGACATTGTGAACAAGCCGTCATAATTATATAATCTATTCACCTGTTGGTATTGTTAAGACTGAACCAATAGCTGACTAGTTCGTTGCAAAGTAGGCGATGTTTTTGCTCTCTCCTACTGCCCTAAGCCTGGGACTGACTCCAGTTAGAACCTCAAAAGTGAAGAGTATGTTTTCTTCTTTTTGATTTCACCTGCTTAGAACGGACGCTTTTGTCCTCGAAAATGGGTGGCCATCTTAAACAATTTTGACTGTATTTCAAAAGACTTTTAACTAATACACAGTGCTGTGTATACTCCCTTGCACAAATTGGTAATTTCAATTTCACCTGAAGTAAGACTGCAGCTTGTCATTTCCCTTCACTTTCAGTAAATGTTTTGGGACAAACTTTGCAGATACACTCTCCTTCAATTCCAGTGCCATCTCTGAAAAAAAACAAAAGCAAATAAATCCAAAAAATATATGTGCCAGTTGATTTTAAAGATAAGTCTAAATCTGAATATATGTGTCCTGTTTGATTCAGGATACAATATATGAATAATTTTGCTTCAATGATCCTGAGACAGGGTTCTGGTTCTGATCCGATGCACTCATCAAAATCAAGACTACTAACATACTTTTATATCATGAAGGAAATAAACTCTTTCATAGAGTGTAAATCATAGCATTTGAATTTGAACGCCTAGGAGGTCGACCTGCATATATTTAGAGAGAGAAAAGTCCACCCTAGGAAGCCATTAAAGCATTTCAACTGAAAGTAAACTAAATAATTTATGGAAGTAGTGAGTATTCCAGCCCAGGGTGAGAACCGTAATTTTTGGGGGTTATTCCCACTTTCCCACCCGGGTTGGGTCACTTCTCATCTTTCCTATTAAATCTATCAAGATCCAAATTCTAGTTTTATAAGATGTAATACAGGCTGAAGGCCGACCTCTAAACCTAGGGTGAGAATTAGACATACACTGGCAGATCTCCCTTGCACCCTCTTTCTGAATACTGTCTATCGGTGTGGACGATCAAATTGACAAAAACAAAGGTAAAAAATGATGTTAAAACACAAAATTAATTAACTTGGTCGTCAACAAAGATGCCACCGCTATTTAACTTTTAGAATCGAGCCAAACTACGTGGGTCGCCATTTTGTTTTGCCAGGAAGTTCTCGGCTACTCGACCTCTCTCTCTCTCTCCTCCCCCCCCCTCTCTTTTTCTCTCACTCTCACTGCCCACAGACAAAATTGAACGGTTTCAACAAAAGAGCGCTGGAATGTTTGTTCACGGTGAACGCTACACTGGTTGTCTATCACTATCACGGTGAAGGCACACCGGGTGAGAATAGCCAAAAGGCCCGCCTGCGCTATTCTCACCCGCAGTGAGTGTGAGAATATAGAGGTGGCCTTCTAAACAGAATATTTTTCTCACAAACTGTACAGAGGACATGCGATTAAACGTAGAAAGACGCAAACTATATTAAGGTAAGGCGCCCATCTTGTTTGACGTCAGACCAGGATACCCCTTCGATCACGTGACTACATCTAAGTATAGCCAACTGCACGGCACCAAAGATGGAAGTGTCTATGTATATATTATGCTTAATCCACACCTTGCTCTCGGAAGTTCTGAAGGCTGAATTGACAGCCCGTCTGCGTTTGAAGTCATGCAATGATTTTAGGAGCGGTTCGATCCCGGTTCCGGACAGTTGTTTTTTTTCTCTTCTCCTCCTCCCGACTGACCAACAGTCCCATAAATTATAATTCGTACAGCTGATTTGAAGTGTATATTAATGATGAAGAATGCAGGGGGGGGGGGGTTAGATCTTTGAGAAACATTTTCGAAACTAATAGTGTTAAATGAAGTATATAATCATAATATACACGATATGAGCGTTTGTTGCACAGTTGACGAGCTCTTTACGTTACGTGTGCAGGGCCTTAGTTTGTGGTTTCCTTACAAAGATGGGCTAAAGGGGCCAAAACATAAATATAATATTATGCAATTGGCTCCTCGACATAATATGCAGTATAGATTAGAATATAT